TGATTTTTACTTTACATTTATGTATAAGGCTTGCAACTTCGTTGAAACAATATCTGAACTCCATAACTGCTCTACTATTCTCGATCTCTACAGATTCTCGATCTCGAACAAGCAAATCACCAAACGGCATTCTGGGTTGAGCGAGCGGCACTGAGCGTTTTGAGCGAGTGGAGCGGAAATTGGTATCTGGGACACTGCGCTCTTAAAGAAATATTACCTCCCCGCTCCGCTCACATGCTCTGGACGTGAGTGGAAGTGTATGAAATGTTGTTACTAAACAATCCTGTGTGTGTGTGAAGCTGGGAAATGATAGTCAATGAAGGTCACGGGCATGATGTGTGTAAACATGACTACAGATGATAGCAGTCTGGTTGTTGTGAAGTCTGACGTCACGCGTCTCTGGGTCCAAATGCTCCTGTAGATCCCTAAAGCAAACAAGAAGCAGTGCTAATAAACACTCACGCTGTGCTGTAAGTACTGCTAAAAATCCATTATCCTAATCTTTATCTCCAAACCAAAATCTCAGTTGGCCAGACTGATTAATCTTTTCTAAAATGTAAAAAAAAAAAATTGGTATCTGGGACACTGTGTGCCCAAAGACTGTAGTGTACACGGCAAGTTTTTAAAAGCTTAGCTGTAAAGTGTGCTAGACATAACTAGTGTTCATAAATGGCTGTTGCGATAGTATTCTCAACTGAAATGGAGTGGAGGCTTGGACCTGGAAACAGTATTTGATACATCACGACTTGACTTAAGCAGATAAGGGATTGTGATTACTCTGGGAATCTGGCCATGACCGCTGGTCTCCTCGTCAAATCAGTGGAAGCAGGAAACACAATAGTATACTGCATGCAATTGAAAAAATGTCTCCACAAAAGTAGTGTAATTAGTAAATTAAAAGTTAGCAGAGAGCGGGGTAGGTGCCGGTAAGCAGTGTCTCCACCTTAATGAAGCAAATTGAGCATATTGGTCACTTTTTTGACCGTATATGTAGAGGCCCATCTTATTCAGCTGCCTGTACTTGTGAGATGTATATCAGAAGTAATACATATATAATAATTTGTATCTTTTATCAATCATGTACTCTTTTTTTTTTTTTTTTTAAGTGCTGGGGATTTTTCAGTGATTCTTTCTGCAGGTTACATCATAACCAAATGTAGCGTATATGCCGTTACTTACATTATATTTACAGTAAGGGTGTGCAATATGACGATCTTAGATGGTGAACAATTAAAATGCCTCCACGATCTGCCTTTAAAGCAGTTTATTTTTAATAACAAAAATGAAATAAAGTGAAATAAGATTTATGAAAAATTTGTGATAAGATCGTGATCCTGCCTGAAAACAATTGTGCTTTGATATTTTGCCATATCACCCACCCCTATTTACTAAATAATGAGAGGAAATCTGTAGCATATTTTGACTTTGTGTTCTTGGGCTGGTTTTAATTTGTCACCCAGGCCATTCTCCTCTGGTTCCCAGTTTTTCAGATTTGGAGAAGATTAGAGAAAAGATGTTTGTCAGTAGTACATGCTATGATTAGAGCAACCGGTGTGGAGCATGAATCCACAACTATTGTCTCAAATCTGAAGAGGCCTCAGAACGGTGAGATGTTGTCAGGTTTGTTCAATTAGCGCTTGTTAACGGGCGCCATTAGCCAGGGTGGCTCTGATGAGTCCGTTTGTGGTTTTTGCAATTCACTGCCGTTTGTCTTTAGTATCTAGTATCTCGTGCAGTTGCTCCGTGACTCTTCTGTCTTGCTTGTGAAGATCATACTTTACTGTGATCCAAAAGGAATAGCGAATAGTTAGGCGGGCCATACTTACTCCTGATACTAATCATCCTGGGTTCAAATACACATGAATTTTTCCTTTCGTTAAATGGCAGTTCTGTGCCAGTTGATGTATAACAGGAGCGGGGTCTAATATGGATCTGTTTTAGTGACATTGAGCTCAAAGCAATTAAACCTAATCGTGCACCAACTACTGCACTACTGCTTCTAAAACACCTGCTAGTATGTAACACATGCACAAAACTGAAATATTTACAGCGACTGAAGTGTGTGAAGAATCATTCAAGTTAAAAATAATTTGTATCTTTTATCAATCATGTGTCATTCTCACTTGTTTAGAGCGATACAACAGAAAATCAGTTTGGGGCTAGCTTAATAGATAATGAATAAATGGCAATCAATCAATTAAATCATTTAACTTTTATTTAAAGTGCCCCTATTGTGCCCTTTTTAAGGTTCCCAATATTGTTTTGGGAGTCTCCTACAAGAGGTTTACATGCATGCAAGGTCAAAAAACACTTTTGTTTTCTCAAAATATGCATTTAATATCACCTCATTTTCCAACGATTCATTCGAAGCAGTTCTAAGATTCAGTCTCTCTAAAACCCTCCTTTTTAGTGAGCCTACTCTGCTGTGATTGGTCAGATGGCCCAGTCTGTTGTGATTGGCCTACCGTGTACAGCGCGTTTCAGAAATGATTTGCCCATTGCCTTAGCTCACTAGAAAATATAATCATCTATTATTTATCATACTTACAGGTTGTGATTCAGTGAAGCCAGCTGGTCCCAATTAGTCTTGCGTAGCCAGACCTTCAGACTGAAGGCAGAAGGTCTGGGAACCTTGGCCAAGGACCGCCCAAGAGGCCATATGACTGACAGGTAAAGCAACCAATCACATTTTGTTTTGTGCCGTGTCATGTTTAGAGGTGTGGAAATGTCCCCACAAGCTACAGTGTTTGAGGGCGGGTCAAGTCGTTTGCAGCTGGCCAATGTAGTACATAGGTGGGCAGGCATTATGCAAATGTGTTACCCTGTGACATGTAGCTGTCACGGAAATGGGATTTGAATTGACAGGACCACAGGTGCCACGTTCGGTAAATTCCCTCACTTATAAGATGCGCGATCTGCGCTGCCTCTCTCTCTCTCTCGCGTGCGTTCTGCAGCAGTCACTTGGATAAGTCGTTGTTGCTTGTTGAACTCGTTGACTTTTGATGAGTTTGAGTGCGTGATGCGCGCTGTGAAAAAGTGTGTTGGAAACACAAATTGAGGACCAATCTGCACCTTATTGATGACCCGTGGCGTTAATATACTGCATCTGTGCCAGCGCGTGATGTAATAAAACTGCAGCTCGTTAATAAACGTTTTTTTTAAAATCCATTTTATACAATCCGACTTCAATTAGCAAGTGCACTCGCATAAACAATTTTCAAGTTCAACACTTTTTGTTCCGTTCAGTTGTGGATGCTGCTGATTCACTGAGACCGCCGCGGCTCAGCAAAGAGTGTGTGTGTTGTGTGTTTTCCTTTGAAAAAGTTTCCCCAGAAATACTTCGCTATTTAATGCATTTTTCCTTACAAATTGTATTATCAGCATAACAATTCGAGTAAATGTGTAAATGGTATGGCATGATGCTATCCTTCTAGAACAATGTGCATTTGTTAAAATTGTAACATAAATTATCAAGTTTAGTTATTCTTATTTCTTTATTGCAAAATGCTAAAACTGGCACCGTTTTGGAGAGAAATGGGCTCTCATTTGAACCCATATCATGGTGTGTAATGCTGAACTATGAGTTTCTAATGGTGTTTGTATTTGCACTGTTCTAAACATTCATATTTTATGTGCAACAACAGCATGCTGTCTCAGTGGCCTTACACATGATTTTAAACCTTTTTTTTTTAAACTTTATGATTTAAATGGTGATGATTTTACTGATAATAACTTTAATCTTTTCTTCAACTGAATACCATTTCCGTGCTGTTTTGATGTATTTTAAAGAGTTGGCAGTCAAAATTAAAACTGCTGGATAATAGATACTCTTCATTCTTTATGACAAACAAGATAATGTAAATTACAGAATGTACAACATTTTTTAAATCTATAAATTGCGGTGTACAGCGTTTATTATGAGGGGGAAGAATCACAGCTCACTCAATACTCATGAGTACTTTTAAATAGGCTACTTTTTTGGACAAGTACTTTTACTCTACTCACACTACATTTTTTGGAAGGTAATGGCACTTTTACTTGAGGATATTTTTTCAGTACTCTTTCCACCCCTGGTCATGACGCAGTGATTGTCTTCTGAGATTCCATCATCTTTGCACAGGAAGAGAAATGTGAACGGGGTCAGTACAGTCAGGGAACGTCAGCATCCAGCGCTGTTACTTAAGCAACAAATGTTTTTAAAGGTGAAGGAGTTAAAGTTCACTAATGGACGCATTCGCGTCTCCACTCTTACCAGAAGAATCAGCATGGCTCTTTCTCCATAAAAATGCTAATCCAAACGCACGTCTGTCCTGGAGTGGCGGAGAGGGGGAGACGAAGCAATTACTAAAGCATTAGCGTGATAGCAGGCGTTCCTCTCTCGGGGTGAGGGCTCTAATGACCACAGAGGCGTCACTTTATTAATATGCAGGCGAGCCATAGTGGAGTCCCTGCATCCTCTAGATAGCAAAGCCTTCTTTTCACTAGCCTCTGATTGGTTTTATGAATACCTCATGATTTCCTGCGGTGCCAAACTGGGGTCCGTTCTATTCAGAGGACTGAAATCACACAGTGGGAAACACTGGGTGAATATTGTAAAAGGTGTCAAGAATATGCCAGAATCAAAGTTCACCCCAAACTGGAAAAAAAAAACAATTTATATATATATATATATATATATATATATATACACACACACACATATTTTGCATAAAGCATGTAAACAAAGAAACAGAGTTTTGTGCCTTAGATTATGGTCAGTTAAATGGACAGTAGGTGTAGAACCACATGATGGAGAGTAAATGATGACAGAATTCCTTTCCTCATTTGTCAGTATTCTATTCTAAATAGGGAGGACATAATTTGAATACTTATTTAATTGAACTGTAATTCAATACAATTATGAGCATATAAATTATACATACATTTTCTTTACTGTATTGTGGGAAACCCCACTTAAAACCAGTAATGAGAAATGTTACTGAAAGAAATGTCATGAAAGATTTTTATTGAAACTTTTATTTAATCTTCTGTACATGCATTATGTAAAGCAGTGGGATGCAGATATCTCCCACCCCAATACAGTCTAAAACCAAAAGAAAAAGATACCCCCTCAAATGACTTCATAGAATAGATTTCATTAGCACTGTAGATTAGCATCACTGTAGATATGAACCCCAAAGTGGTGACCTTGCAATCACAATTAAATGTAATGTCATATCCCCGTCTTTTTCAGCTATGAGAGACCACATGAACATGCTTAATAACGCCTTCAATCGATTTGGTTATTTGAAAGATGCACAGCAGCATCCTATATACGCAGGCTATACGTCGCGTTAACCGTACATGATGAACAGCTACATCTATTGATACCAAGAGTTTAAACAACTTGTAAACATTTGAACAGTGTGTAAAATTTTTAAAATCAGACAATAACATAATATTCATTACAGCATTTGCAAGCTCCAAGCCAGAAACATGTTCGTAGCATCATGCTCTCGGAGGCCGAAACACAGAATTGCACCTAGTACCGCCAACCACCGGGGAGGATCAGTTACCCAGTTTAAGTTTAGATGTGGGCTCCTGTCTAACAGGCACTTCTTGGACTCATGGGTAATAGAAGTGATGTGTGTTAAAGAGACAGACTTTAAATGTAAAGGCAATTGTGGCCACTTTTAACTGATAGAGGAGCCCTTAAAGCTGAAATATCCCAAAAGCAGTCCTTTGAAAGCGTGAGAGAAACAGGCAGAATGCGTCTATCATCCCAATATAGCAAAGATGTGCAATTGGATGAACGATTTGAGATTTGATTGTAAAAAAAGCCTCTGAGCTTGAAGAATAAAAACGAAAGAAAATAAATTTGGTGCCGCCCCATATATTCAAAGGCATTTCCCCTTTTCGTTGTCCTGCGTAAGTCTTAAAAGAACAGTCAGCGTAGCCTATGTACACACACATTTACATTAAATAAAAGGCAAGTTCCTTTCGACAACCCTCGTAAAAGCGGGATGCGTCGAGTAACACCACATCGAGCGGCTTGGTTCAACATCCAGAGGTCCGTGTTCTCAAAGCCTCCCCAAGGCACGCACGCATCCTCTTCCATAGAGTGACGACAACACGGACAGACACGTAAGACCAGAGCAGAACACGTAAAGGACAGAGGCGAGAGGCGGTCGCATCGTTCAGCAAATCCCTCCGGCCATCGCAGCTAGACGCAGAATCCATTTCAGCCATCCTCGGGTCGCCGGGTTCTACCTGGTGAGCTGGCCGACCACTTTGAGCAAGGTCTTATTTTCCTGTTTGAGCTGCTCATTCTCATCTTCAATATCATCCAGATCCTGAAAAACGTGGAAATATGCAGACAAAATTATTCTTCTCACAAAGCACAAGGGAGACTCGATTGTCAATTGATTCCAAGTTTGACGTTAAAGTGTTGCAAAGCTAACAATATGATATTTGTAGCATAAATATGTATTAAACAGAAATTTGTCTTAATTAAGATGCTCCTCTTAGGGATGTGCGCTAAAACTAATTTCATAGTCGTTTAAACAGAAATTTTGTTCCGTCTAATCAACTAGTCAAAAAGTAAGAAACCCTCAGAAGACAGTCACAAACATTGTGTGTGTATATGTGATTTGAAATACTTCAACTTTGAATCAAATAGTCAAATAATTCCAGATACCTTATGATGTGAATAGTTTTTTCTGTCAAACGGCTAAAATTTACATTGATGGCAACAAAAGCAGCAGACCATGGTTGCCCAGTAAACAAAGCAGCGCTTCTAGGCATTATACTTAAATAACATTAAAAATGTCAATGAAGCTTTTCTGCAGAAAGTCAGTTCCCTTTCATTCATAATGTTTCCCCCTTTAAACCAGTAAATGCGCTCCCACAGCTTACTCGTCCTCAAACATTTCTCTGATACCGCAGAGAGTGACAGGAAGAAAATGTATGCATGCAAGATCTGATGTGAAATTAAATGAATTTGTTTTCCGCTCCAGAGATCGACTTTTCAAAATAATGTATTATTTCTAAAACGTAACATTAAAATGATTAAATTTCTACTAGTATTTACAGTATCGACTGGCAGCAGCAGTTCCGTTTAATCGAGTAGTTTAGCACATCTCTAGCTCTTATATATGCTGTTCAATATTGAGTGGTTTTGTAGGAGGTGTTAGGAAGTCATTGCTAGTCAGTTAGTGTGGTGAGAGTAATGGTATCTATACTTTGTAAGCAACGGCTTTTTCCCCTGTAAAGTACACTAATACAAGAACGCTATCATTGTTGTAACTATGTATTTGTTGGCGTTGCTTGCTACACTACCATTGAAAGTTAAAACGTAGCATCTCAGCCGGGTCACCTTTTGCCAGAGCAGGATTAATAATAACAAATGAAACATTATCAGGTTCAATTAGTGGCAAAAAGCTGTGGCAGTAAAGTGACAAGTTTCATTTACAGTTTCCTCAGTCACTAACGATGACGGACAGTCGGCGGGATTACTTGCAGGACACATTTCAAAGAGCTCAAAAACGATATACTACTATTCAAAACTATGAAAAGTAACGCTTGTTTTTCAAGGAGAAAAAAATAGCAGTCAGGTGCAGTTATTACGAGGAAACAACTAACAGCTTTGTACACTTAAAGACAAACTAATTAATAATGTTGCATGAAGACTGCGGTTAAAGTGATTTCTATTGTTTAAGCTACTCTGGCAGAGACGTGGAGTAGATTGTTCAGGTAAATTACATGCAAGTGGTGAAGATTTCATCATGCTGCACCCTAAAGCAGAGTTAACCAGGCAAGTCAATGGCCACATGTCTGACAGCTGAAAAAAGGCTGTGCTTGCAGATATAGTATGGTGGTAGCATGCATGGGTAACATCCCATGTACTAAGGGGGCATTTTGTGTCCGTGTAAACTTAAAAAACGTGATTTGTGAAAACGGTGATGTCATGTCCATGTGTATTATGTGTTCAGTGTATAGCATATGCAAGCACTTGACAACCATAATACAGTGATGCTAGTTGTTTTGGTGGATCTGTGTGAACAGGGATTGTTTTGACAATGTTGCAGTGTATGTGAAACTTTTCTTGTTTTAGTACATTAGTGTCATGTAAAATTACCCTTAGATGAGATTGTAAATGTGAATTGATTGAATTAGTAATGTATTTTATTAGTGTATTTATAGGATACTTTGTTGTATTTCTACTACAGTCCATTGATGTGTGGTTGTATTGTGAGTTTTTTTGTGTAGCGGAGCTACAGTGTTTATCTGTCGAAGTGTAGATGATAGGTACACAATGAGTAATGGAAGATTTGAAGGAGGAAATGTTTGTGTGCTTCTGTGTTTCAGAGAGTGTGGTCAATTATAGTGTGATTAAAGCGTGCACATGCTGGAGTTTGTGAGGCACATGCCTGTTTGGGGCACAGATGTAGTGTTAGGAAAGAGCACATCTTGTTGTCCTTTGTAGTTGCCAACTTTTAGTTGAAAGGTGGCCTCCTTATATCTGACCGTGGAAGCTGGGTTTACAATGTTTATTTCTTTATATTTGTATTCTGTTAGTGCGTGTGTTTAGTGCATTATAGTGAAGAGACATGAAAACGAGAGACGCAGGGAGAGAGTTTGAGCGGTCCGTGTGAGTCCAGCAACGGCACAGCTGACTGTATTTTTTTTGGCGTGGGCCTCCGGAGCTCTGTTTGTATTGGAAGGAAATGAGAGAACAGACTGCAATCTCAGACAAAGACAACAGCCCTGACATAAAAGGGTCAGAACCACCTACTGGGTGTATTCCCTGCAGAAAGCCTAAAAGTAGAGCCGTGTTCTAATGCTGACGGTGACGGAGAGTTTGAAACACTGACCTGGCTGGACTACTGAATCACCAATGTTGAAAATCTGTGTGTGTAGTAAATAGTAAGCCGTAATAATGTGTAATGCATAGCTGTGATGCAATTGTCAGCTTCGCGAATTAATAATGCGATGGTGCTTTTTCTTAGCACTGTTGAGAAGGCTAATGAAATAGTGCAAAATGGTGTTGTAATTAAGTAATTAAGGGTTCACTTACGCCGGTGCTTCCTTTGAGCACTCCCGCCAAGAAAATAGTACTTTCAGATGTCCCTCCTTTTCTGAAAGATGATGTTATCATGCAAGAATTGTCACGATATGGAAAAAGTCTCTCCCATCAAAAAAATTCAGCTCGGATGTAAATCGCCTGTAGTCAAACATCTTGGGTCTTTTAGGAGACAGATGTTTATGATTCTGAAGAATGGCGAAGATGAACTTTTAAATTTAAAATAGATGGCTTTGATTATGCTATTTGCATCATCTGATATGACGATCAAATGTTTTGGTTGTGGAAAAATTGGGCATCTTATTTGTAGTTGCCCTGATAAAGTAAAGGAAGTCGTGGCCTAATGGTTAGAGAGTCGGACTCGTAACCCAAAGGTTGCGGGTTCGAGTCTCGTACCGGGCTCTCTTCCACCTTCAATACCACGACTGAGGTGCCCTTGAGCAAGGCACTGAACCCCCAACTGCTCCCTGGGCGCCGCAGCATAAAAATGGCTGCCCACTGCTCCGGGTGTGTGTTCACGGTGTGTGTGTGTGCACTTTGGATGGGATAAATGCAGAGCATTAATTCCGAGTATGGGCCACATGTCACGTCACTCACTCACTCACTAAATAAGAACACAAGAGCATGTTGATGCAGATAAAGTCGGGAGCACTGTAACTGAAACTAGTGCATCCGCGGCTGCCTCACTGGAGGTTGGAAATAGTAGCCTACCGCTGTGAATGTATCGTTAGAAGAGCCGGTTGAGGGCGAAAGCAGCGGGGAAACATTGATGTCTGATTCTCCTCTTGTTGATGGAGGTGTTGTGGTGGAGCCTGTAGCGGCAGAGACCGTGGCAGGATTGAGTAAGACAGTATCTTCCGCATTTGTAGAACAAGACCGAGAAACTGGAAATGAAGACTTGAGATTGAATGATTGTAAATTGAACATGGAAATTGAATCGATCTTCAAAATTCCAATTAAAAGAAATCAAAATGATAAAATCAATAAACAAGTCAAAAAAAAAGTGATGGTGAAGATGAAATCATAGTTTCGGATGATGATGACTGATTCTAGTCCTTCGGTGTGTTCAAAGTTTTCTGCTTGTTCTCAAAATGAGAATGTAAATGTGTACAAAGCTGAGGACATTAGTCTTTTTCTTCAGGAAACAAAAGGGCTAAAAGGCATACAGATTGAGGATTATTTTCCTAATCGTGCACAGTTTGTGAGGGACACCAGATATTTAATGAAAGAAGGGGCTTTCTCTGATCTTGAAGTGTACCGTTTACAGAAGTTTGTGAACAAGCTAAAAAAAACAAGTTCTTAGAGATGAGAAGAATTACATGGTTTAAATCCCTAAATTTGGTGTTTTTGACCATATGTATAATCTGTTTTTTCTCTTCTTAGTTTCTTGTGGAACTTAAATAATACTATGAGTCCGCAAAAAATTGGAACTCTAAATTTATATGGAGCTAGAGATGTTCATAAAAGGATGATGTTGTATGAGTTTATTAGCCAGAATTCTGTTGATGTCATGATTATACAAGAAACGCATAGTGATAAAAGAAATGAGGTGGACTGGAAAAGAGAGTGGGGAGGTCAACATTTTCTTAGTCATAAATCCTCTATTAGTGGAGGTGTGGCAATATTATTTTCTAAAAATGTGACTCCAGTATCTTATGCATTTGTTGAAATTGAAAAAGGATGTTTTTGGTCCTATAAACATGAGCCATGCACAATAGTATCCAACTGCAGAGTCGCAGCTGATGAGCGCGACACATTCTGAAAAAGCTGCGAGGCTCATCTCCATAAGAACGTTATGATTGGCAGAACAAATTTACCTGTAGTTTTGAAAAGGTCCTGTTCACACATGATCGCTTAACAGCAATTTACCAGTGAAGACTGTATGTGTGAAAGGGGCTAAACTCTTCCTCTGCATATGCGGTGAGTTTGGGTTGCTTAACGTTCATCTGGGAAAACTGTGCGTTCTCTCACTTCATTTGTAACAAGTCATTTATAAACCTATGCCAACACAGAATACATCAACATATTTCTAAATATGTGATTTATTGTAGATTGCGATTTCAAAATAAAAGTTTCTCACTTTGCATATGGCCAAATTTTGCAATTAAATGGATTTAAACGTCATTGAATCACATGAAACATCACCAGGCCGTTGGCGCCCTCTGCAGGTATTTGTTATAATATAGGCATAATACATTGTGTCTTGATACTTTATTTGAGTCAATTATTATTGCCTCATCGTTAGTTTATATATAACTCTAGTCATATTAA